ATACACACATTCTCTTCCACTCTCTCTCTCTCTCTCTTTTTTGCTCTCAGATATTTCTAAGGCCCTTATCACTTTGGTGTCTAAGTATCATTATCTATCATCATCACTAATGATCACAAAACGAAAGCTACTCTCTAGCACAGTCTGTGAAGGATAAAGTTCTGAAGAATGTGAACGTAAGATATCAGTGATCTTCTGATTGCTGATTAGCATAATATTTGGGTCCTGCTTCAGTTTTTAAAATAGTTGCTATAATTTCAGCAAGCTCATAGATTTTTCTGATTTTGTTAAATATATATAGTATTCACTGCCATACATTTTTGGAATAACACTAACTCTACTGTAGCATCATGTCAGACACTGATTTCAAATATTAGAAACCTCATAATGTAAGTCATCCAGCTCAGCCTGCGTTTGAGCTGGTCCAAAGACCTCTGAGGGTATGTCTACACTACCCCGCTAGTTCGAACTAGCGGGGTAATGTAGGCATACCGCACTTGCAAATGAAGCCCGGGATTTGAATTTCCCGGGCTTCATTTGCATAAGCGGGGAGCCTCTATTTTTAAAACCCCGCTGGTTTGAACCCCGTGCAGCGCGGCTACACGGGGCTGCGTTTGAGCTGGTCCAAAGACCTCTGAGGGTATGTCTACACTACCCCGCTAGTTCGAACTAGCGGGGTAATGTAGGCATACCGCACTTGCAAATGAAGCCCGGGATTTGAATTTCCCGGGCTTCATTTGCATAAGCGGGGAGCCTCTATTTTTAAAACCCCGCTGGTTTGAACCCCGTGCAGCGCGGCTACACGGGGCACGAACTAGGTAGTTCGAACTAGGCTTCCTAGTTCGAACTACCTTTACTCCTCATTTCACGAGGAGTAACGGTAGTTCGAACTAGGAAGCCTAGTTCGAACTACCTAGTTCGTGCCCCGTGTAGCCGCGCTGCACGGGGTTCGAACCAGCGGGGTTTTAAAAATGGCGGCTCCCCGCTTATGCAAATGAAGCCCGGGAAATTCAAATCCCGGACTTCATTTGCAAGTGCGGTATGCCTACATTACCCCGCTAGTTCGAACTAGCGGGGTAGCGTAGACATACCCTGAAGGATTTTACCAAGAAGCCCTACTATAAAACTCATTTTAGATAAATGTATGCATGTCAAAAATACAGAAGGCTTTTTAGGTAAACTAAGCTAACTTAATCACTATTCCATAAGCGGATCTGGGCTGCCTGTTGAGCTCAGTGACAGGAGTAGGTGGTACTTAGCCTAGTGTTGCCCTGTAATTTATTATATGTCAATAAACTGCTCATGTTCTGGGCATCTTTCAACACAAACCTTAATCAATGCTTCATGTTACTGGGGCTATATTGTCTACAATAGTTATAGTGCATAGCAGGTGAGACAAGTATGCAAAATCCACTTGTGCAAAGAGATGAGGGAAACATTCTCTCCTTTACCTTTTTGAAGCAAAAGTGAAATGGCCTAGCCCACTCCTAGAATATTTAAATCCCAGAGTTGTGGAATGATTTTCTGATACAGGATTAGAGAATCAAAATTACCCTGATGTTACCATTGGTAACAGTGTCCCTGGCTGAATATCAATTTAGAAAGTTAATGAGCCTCCTAGAGCTATCAGATCAAAATTAGTACAACAGTATGTGATCTGATGTGATTCCAGCAGGCCTGCCGCCGGGGGATGGGAGGGAGAACAAAGTGAGTAGCTGCCAGGCAACCCAGCGCTTTGGTTGGGGCTCCTGGCCACTGCTGCCACTGCAGCAACAATGGCAGTAGCTGGGAGTCCTGGGCCCTTTAAATTACCATTGGAGCACTGGGCAGCACTGAAGGGCTGGCTGGAGGAGGCTGGCCTCCAGCCCCACCCCTTCTGTCCAAAACTCCGCTTCCCCTCCTTGAGTCCCAGAGCTACCCACCCCAGCTTGCGAATTCTGTTAGTTAAGAAGGGTCTGCTTTTCATATGGTGTTTCATAGCAGCATGTAGCCACCTGCCTGTCTGTCCGCTGAACCCTAATTTAAAAGAACATAAGTTCTGAAAAACAACCCAGTTAAAAAGGAGCCAGCGCAACACATCTTTTCCGGAGGGCAGCAGCCTTCTGGACAGATGGCTAGGCTGACTGTGCTTATTATCAAACATCTATTACCATCTGTGACGGGGTGAGGCCCGCCTACCCCATCGAAACGGGCCCACCCCGTACTGACCCCGCGATTGCCCTCTCGCTAGTGGGGGCAACACAACGGGAGTTGCTCACGTGCGGGCTGTGTAGTGCCACCGTGCGTCAGCTGAGCGGCGGGCCAGCAACCATTGCTGAGCAACGCGGGGCGCACGGCCGCAGGGTAATGGCGGCAGGAAGTGACGGCGGGGGGGAAGTGACGTCAGATGCCATGGGGGAAGGGCAGGGGGAGGGGGATAAAAGCCCCTAGGGAAGTGCCAGGAAGGGGGGAGAGAGGCAGGGGAAGGGGGGGGGGGGGGGGGGGAG